TTTTCGTCCTTTGTTGCGAATCCCTGTGGCATCTCCATCCCGCGACGCCGCTTCGACTCGCCCCAGCCAAATGAAGTCTTGAAACCCAGAAACCTCTCCGTATGTTCCCCATCTTCTGGTAGCCTGGGATGGTCTCAGCTTGAAGCGATATCTCTTTGGTCTTCAACTTGGCAGTCTCATATCCCAGGTGCTTCTCCGTCTCCTTGTGACACTGACACCTCTCACTAGATTCCTTCCCCTTTGCGCTGTTTTCAACGCCTGCGAGGTCTGGTTTACCGTGCAAAAACTCTCATTTTCGTTCGATTTCGTCTTTTCTTCTCTCCACTCGTTTCTTCTCTTTCGTTCGTGTGTCGCCCTATCTTCGTTTTCCGTTCATCTCCGGACTCACCGCAAAGTCAACAACACGACTGTGCGACCTGACCGATTTGAAGAGACGTCATCTTTTATGCTGCAGCACCTCAACCAATTCGACTAGACGTCGATCCAAGAATATACGGACGCTGTGTCGTTCGTCTCCCCCGCAAGGACGTTTTCGAGCGCCGCAAGCCGCCGGCTACCTGCATCAGTTCATCACTTGCGTTCTCTGCAACGGACCGGCCTCCTGCATATAGTCGCACTGCAGATAGGGGCTTGATGCCAGACGTGGAATTCTGTTGCGCCGACGAATTTTCAGACCGCCTTGATTTACCATAAAGAACCTCGATGAGTCAACCGTATGATGGAAGAGAGATGGATACGCCCTTATCAGCATCTGGATCTGTAAAGAGAGCGCGAGAAAGAGCAAAAGCTGGACTTCCACGACACCAACCTCTCCCAGTTCACTCAGAAGCAATGGATGACGGACCACCCGGTGACCTGAGGGCTCCGCCTCGTCGACCCATGGCCGCACAGCCGGCCGGGCAGTCAAGGCTTCCTCGGGCCAAGCCCGTGCCTGCGATGGATTGCAGGAACGGACAAGGCGTTCCCGCTATTTCGAGACCTACTCAAGTTCCGCAATGGCCCTTGACCGGCCCTCCGATGGCCTCGATGGCTTCGATGAACCAACCCGACCCCGAACCGTATCGACCACCTCCTGGACGACCGTTGCACGCTCCCCAGCGACCACCGCGCCCCAGCCAGGTTCCTTCCTTGCTCGACCAGTCTCGACTTCAGGATCCTACTCCCGTCTTCTTGACACCCGAATCCGACGAATATCACTCCTCTGTACCGCCCTCACCGTCTTCTCGAATTTCCAATTCTAGCCTGGGATCGGTTCCCGACTTTCCGACTCCTAACCAGTCGATTGCCGCAACTCCCTCGCGACGAAGTGCTAACCTGGGACCTCCTCCTTCGTCTCGAAGAGGAGCCTCGTCTTTCTACTCGAATGCGTCTTATGTCTCGCCAATCCCTGAAGAGAGCTTAAACTCGAGGTCCCATAGATCCTATGCTTCGAGCGCCGCCATGCCCGAGAGCTGGCCAGGTTCCCGAGAGGTTAGCCCGACGTTTTACGAAGAAACAGATATCGATAAGAGCCGCCACTCAGATGAGGATGACTTTAACGAGTTCAACGACGAGAGCAAACTGGTTCGCAGCGCTAGCATTGGAAAGAGAGGCAAGCCTTCCATTGTAAACACCAAGTCAGCCATCCTCGATTCCGCCCATCGACCAGCTCCATCGCCCGTTCAACCATTCAATTCAGGTACTGGATATGTCGACGCTTCAACTAGCTCGTCCAGCACGCTTCCCCTGGCGAAGCCTTCGGGTCAAAACGCCCCCAATGATGTCTTGAGCCCGGATGCCATTCTCGGTGCGTACGCTGCTGCAAGCGCAACCAACCTAGAGACTCCTCAGGCACCAACTCCATCTCCCCAGCCCTTCAACCGACTGTCAGCTATTCGACGACCACCTAGGCTTGACATGGATGCTGTGAGGAACATGGAGGAGAGAGGTAGTATCACAAGCTTGCCGGACCTGATCCGACGAGCAACCCGACTCGCCAATATGATGGACCGTGGCCGCCGACCGGCGAGCCGATTCGAGGATTTGAGTGAATATCTCGATGAGAAGGCTCAAGTCCGTGGTGGTGACAAGGAGAACTCAGGTAGGTGTACCCACCCAATGATCAGGGATCAGCGTACTGACATGCAGCAGGTTTGTCAGACATGTTGGCAGCCTTCCCTCCCCCCGCACAGGCGCAAACAGAACGAGGCTCTTGGTTCCGGACAACATCTTGGCCTCTGGCACCTAGCCGACTAGGCGAAGCGCCTTCACGATCGGGTCTCCGCGATATGACTACCCCGGACGGAGACCAGAAGCGACGCCGGCGATGCTGTGGCCTACCAGTTTGGGGCTTCGTCCTCGTGATGATCCTGCTGTTGGGCATCATTGCCGCTGCCGTGCTTGTGCCGCTCGAGTTTTTCGTCTTTAAGAACTTGAGCAACAAGGACAAGCCACAGACGGCACTTGCTCAGTGCCAAGAGTCACTGACGTGCCGGAACGGAGGGACCAATGTCCTTTCGAAGGGTGTCTGCTCGTGCATCTGCACGAATGGGTTCACTGGCTCCGACTGCAGCGTCGGGGGCTCGGATGGCTGTACGACGGCGGATTTGGGAGGCGACTTTAACAACGTGACGATTGGAAAGGCCATCCCCCGTCTCCTCGAGGATGCAAGTGCCAACTTCTCTATCCCTCTTAATGGCACAGTCATCCTGAACAGCCTCAACGCCGGAAACCTCTCTTGCATTGCACAAAACTCACTGGTCACCTTTGACGGCAATTCTGCGCGAGAAGGCAAGGGCTCATCCAATGAGAGTGAATCGGAAGAAAAGCTTGCGCTGGAAAGTGGAAGTCCAGACCTGGCTGTGCGAGCAGAGCCAACAGCCATCACCATCTCGGAGGAGGCTCCTACCTTCCTGGTGGTGGATGAAAGCACACCGACCGTGGTACCGACGTCAACAGGAAGCGCGTCGGACGCGGAGCAGACGTTGGCAACCGAATCAGGCAGTGTGGCTAGCCCTACTGCCACCTTTGCGGTGACAGAGGACGTACTTGACTTTGCACGTGTTGCGGTGCTCTATGTGTTGCAGGAAGAAGACTCAGAGAGTGCTCAAGAGGCACAGTCAGCGATTGGACGCTTCTTGGCCAGGGCTCACAAGGACTCTGGGGTGGAGACAAAGACTGCCGAGAGCATCAAGCTCGGAGGAAACAACACGGTAGATCTTTTGAGATTCACGATCGACCTTGGGTCTGGAGCCATTGGAGGAAATGCGAAGCGCGATGTGGCGGCTCCCCAAGCACGCTGGTCCACCCCAGACAGAGTACATACACATGGCTCTCTGCGGCGAGGCGGACCGTTACGCGCGAGACGCTGAGATACAGAGATGCAGAGAGAGAGTGAAGAAAGAAATGGTGTACATAATGTGCGGATATAGTTATGCATCTTGGTACGACGGCGCCGATCAGTGTATTATTTGATTCGTTTTACCAGGGCCGGGCCGTGGATGGTAATGACGGGAGAACAGGAAATGGGATTGACGAGGAGAAGATCTTGCATACACACTTCAGAACCCCCCCCCCCCCCTTTTTTTTTTTTTTTAACTCTTCTATTCTATTTCCCCCCTTTTTATCAAGTAGAACTCGCGAGCGAGATTAGCGTGGGCGTTTTATCAAAAGAAAGAGAGGAATGGTTTCTTCCATGACCTGTCAATCATGAATGCGATTCTAATCCGTGGAGTTGAAGTGTTTGTTCTGTATGTGACGTTTTGAATTATTGAATTATTTATACCATTTCTTCGTGCATTCTTCATGGCATATAAAATACCTCCTCGACGGGCTTCCACCACGACGGCTCGCCTGCCTCGGAGCTCACAGCGCCGGGAACCACACTCTCTTGCCATGCATCAGTCATACGCCACCACTCCCTAACACGAGGGTTCTCCGCCATGAGAGCCATGTCGGCCTTGTAGTCGGAGCCGACGTACTTGAACGAGGCGAACAGTACATGAGACTTGTCGTCGTAAAAGATGCTATCTACACTCGGTGTTAGCCCCCTCTTGTCTCTTTTTTGTTCATATCTCGTACAGTCTTTGATGTTGCACTGCTTAATCTGCGCCAGCACGTCGGGCCATACTCGAGCGTGCACGTCCTTGTACTCTGCCAGGTGTTGTGGCTTGAGCTTGACGATCTGGGCGAAGCGGTGGACGGCTTGTGACATTTTGGGCGATTCAGACAAAGAGATGTTACAAAGGACGGACAATTAGAACTAGATAGTCAATTGGATGGGCACGTTTGGTAAGTTATATAGCATAGATTTCTCGGTAATCGGGCTAGAGGATAGCGAGTTTTACTACCAAAACCCCGCATATTGGCTCAAGAAGTCTATTATATATCCACTGATTTGCCATGGGGCTTTTAAGAACCGTCCCAATGGCTTAAGAAAACGGTAGCGGGATCGGGAGAATGCATGCCACCCCCAATTCCCTCGAGTCGCTTATACTTGACGACCCACCTGTTGTGGGGGATGGACACTGTAGCATTGGACAACAGCGTAGACGAACATGATATACAGGGCATAGATATACCATGGCCGACTAGGTTCTTGATCTGGCTGGCATGTACAGGGGCTCCCATGTCGTAGAAGTCGAGCCCGTGATGGATCAGCATCAATAGAATGGATACATCCTTGATGTTAGGTAATTGTTGATGAATTTCGCTATCTCCAACAATGCCCGCGGTACATACAAAGAAACCCGCGAGCACCGCTGAACCCTTAAAGAGAGGACGGCAACAACCATTTAGTTGCCAAAACCAAAGCACCTTTGGCCGTAGCCACCCAATTCGTGATATATCATCCAGTTCCATCCAACGCTAGAACGCCTTTCCCAAAATTCCAGTTATTCACACATTCTTGGTATCAAATAACACGCCCTCCGTGGAGGTACCGTGTTGGGTTTCTTTTGCTTTGCCTTTTCCTTCTATCCTGGTCGGACCGTTGCATAGGAAACGGCCAAGCGAGTCACACTTTAGTTGCGAGCCTCGGGCTGTTCGTACTGAGGAGGAACCTCCTCGTTGACAATCAGACCAGACTTTTCGTCTTCGGCGATAATCTCCACGATGGCGGCCTTGTAGTCGGCGCCTAGGGCGGGCTCGGGGCGTTCACCCTTGAAGTAGCGGATGAGGCGGACAGTAAGACTGCAGAGGAACATGGCGAACCTGAAATTGGTTAGTATATCAACATCAACAAGAATGATCATGAAAACATACAGAGCAACACCAACACCAGCAGTGACGCCCATGAGGACGGGGATGATGATGTAAGCGGTAATGTGCTTGAGCATGTTGGCCCAAGAGTAGTCGACGCGCTCGGGGACGAGCTGGGCGTGACCCTGGTGGGGAGTGCCGGCGTTCTTGTTCTCAGAGTTGCCGTGTCCGTGGTTGTTCTTATGGCCGTGTTCCTTCATTCCGTGGTTCTTCATTCCGTGGCAGCCCTTGCCCTTACCCTTGATGCTGCCCTTGATACCCTTCAAGGTCTCATGGAGCAGACCCTTGGCGCGGCACCACATTGAGCAGTCATCACCAAGTCCGTTGTGAGAAGAGCCCTCAACCTCGATGCTTCCGATGATGATCTCGCCGACGGGGGCCTTGATGAGCTTGACCTTGACGGGAGGGACGCCGTCGACGAACCGGTCGCCGACCTCGATAATTCTAATCTCGACGCCAATGACCTCGAGGTGCTGGTCATCATCCATGCCCTCTGGTCGAATAGCGAGACCATATCCAAGTCGGCGCACAGCGCTCTTTCCATTACTCTTGGTGACTGGGGCCGAGAGGTCTCCATTCCACGGATCCGCATGAGGGTACAGTTCAAAGCCGTTGAGGACGAGTCGATGCTCCTCGATGTTAAAGTTGAGCTCTAATTGGGCGTTGCGGTCGCGGCAGCGGGTGCAAGGGATGGTGATGGATTGCCCAAAGGCTGTAGCGGGGACCTCGAAGGTGTCGACGTCGATGGGTAGGGTACGGAAGATGCCATCATCAGCCTCGGAAGTGTCGGGGACGATGAGGATGGCTGCAGCCGTGGCTGCGAGGGCGAGCGGCTTGAGCAGTTGCATCGTTATCGGTATCGTATAGGGGGTGTATCAATATGAGATGAAAAATGTACGGTTTCCTGGCGATGGGAATGATTGTCGTCGATATTTACGGTAGAGACGGGAGGGGGAGAAGTTGAAAAAAGGGAAGAAATAGTGTCAGTGGTGGTGGTGTGCTCGTGGTTGCCTTTAGAGAAGAGTAAGAGAGAGATGATCGGATGTCTCGGTGGCGTAGGCTCCGCTTTGGGTGAAGGAAAGGGCCAGGCGAGGGGGAACCTTCCATGAGCATGAAGTGGAACTGGAACGCGGGACGTCCGGGGGTCACGGAGCTCCAGGTACGTACCTCTCTGCCCAGCCAGGCTGCTAGCCCAGGCTGCTTGGTAAGAACCTACAGTGGAAACAGTGCATGTCGGCCCCTCCCATAGCGCTAAGCTGAGTTAAACAGCTTCAGACTCCAAGTGCCACGCGCGATGGTGATCATGCGTGCTCTTTCCCGCCTTGTCGGCAATTAATGCCTGACGATTGAGGCATCGATTACCTGCTTGGGCATCTTTCCGCCCGCAAGCGGCAAGCTCATGGTGTAGATCAGCGTCACCTCTCGACTGAGATTGTTGTTTCAGTCGTCTCATGCTACAACCTCGAATCATGTCAATAGACGGTCAAGTCAAGTCATATCATCTCATATCTGCCGTGTCAAAAAAAAACCGAGACCGATACCGAATACATCTCAGGTTGACATAGATTAACTAACTAACTAGGTGGTACAGTCATGTAACCCTCTCACACATCACCCATCACCTCGCGTATCCGTACTCTCTCTCGGCTGACATCCCCTGCTTGCATCCATTTGCATCTCCACCAGCCTGTAGCATGCTTACACGCGGACCCGAATACAAGCCCGGCCGCCGAAACCAGCAGCCCTGCACTGCATTAACGTTAGAAACATGACCCGTCCAAGAAATACCAAGAGGCGTGAGACTCTCGGTCTGAATAATAATCGTCTCAGCTCAGGGGAAGGCTGCCTTGTGTGGCACAGGCACAGATTATCGCCAGATTAACTCTGCGCCAGCCAGCGTCCCCGTCAGATCGAGACTCTTCTACTCTTCCTCACCAACCTCAAAAGTCTGTCTGTGCCACAGAGCCTTCAGCCTCCCCGCCAGATGCTTCCATCGCATGGACCACTCCTCCCTCGGGGCCAAGCCTCCGTCACCGATGCCGATGCCGATGCCGACGCCAAGGTCCGACACGTTCTGATGACGATGGACTGGAGAGTCCTTGCCCCAGGGGAAGTTTGGGTTCTCAGGCAATGCCAATGCCTCTTGCCGGCCAACCGTGCCTGTCGAAACAGCCCCGGAGTCCGACTGTTCCGTACCCGTCGTCGTGATCGTCTTCAGAGTTGTCAATGACGGCCCGAAGCTCGTTTCTAGTCCTTGTCAATGTAAATCCTTAGCATGCCAGTCATTAATTCCACTAACCCTTTGAGGTAAACGTGTGGGTTCTGTTCACCCAACCCAGCGTGCTAACGTTATAGGCGATTGTCGCTCCCGGAGTACCTGTGGTGTTGCAAGCCGACGAAATCTGGCCCGGCCCCGTCGGGAATGGTGGGGGAGCCGACCATGATCCGGGTGTAGTCGAGCAATCGGTCACAGTCGAGAACGTCGAGGGCACCGGATATAAAGATGAGTCGGTGCAGACCGACGACGTGCTAGATGTCGATTCGCATTGACTAGCTGTGCTTGTCAAATTCCACGACCCAGTGGGAGTGCTGGTCGCCGAAGTCTTCCTACCGGAAGCCAAGGAAATCGTCGAGTTCGTCACAGGCCGAGGTGAGCTCTCAGTTGTTGCCGAGGGTCCCCTGGTCAGCTCTGTCTGGGTTCCGCTAGTTGTCTCGAATGAATCACTGCCGGTATTGGCGGGTGTACCTGATGTCATGACCTCTGTGGAAGACAAGGGTGGAGCAACTGTCTCAAAGGGCTCCGAAGTCTCCGAGGAAGCCGTAAATCCGGACGTGGTGTTGGACCAGATCACCGAGCTAGAGATCACACCACTGGAGATCCGTGAAGTGCCAGTGCCCATGGATATAGATGTGACAGATGGCGTGGTGGTACGGATAGATTCGGACGGCCCTTGACCAGTCATGCTAGAGTTGCTGGCTGGGAAGGTCGGCGTCCCAATAGACTCCGAGGAACCTGGTCCCGTTGTGAAACTTGTTGTCCAGTTGCCCGTCCATTGCGATCTCTCCGTGATTGTAGAAATCAACATGCTAGACATGGATCCTATGGTGGGTGTCAAGGTAGTGGCATTGGACATAGGAAACTTGGGCGTATTAGTTCTTGGGGTAGGTGTGGGGAATCCAGTTGAAAAGGTCGAGTTCAGAGGATAAGAGGTTGTGCTGATCCTAGGCGTCGAGATAGGAATGAACGAAGAGTTGGAGCCAGTAGGGAAAGGAGCCGTCGTGCTGTTTAGTGGTAGCGGAATGACGGTCATCGTGATCGTTAAAGTGGACGATGTGTTTGTCTGAGGGAACGGAGGTGCGCTGGTCTGGGTGGTGAATGTCTTGTTCGAGCCGGACTCCGACAGGGTTGGGATGGTACGGTTGAATGACACAGAGATAGGCGTCGTGACGATGGAAACCAAACCACTCGTGCTCGTTCCACTGCTGTAAGTGCTGGTACCGTTGACAAAAGTTGGGGTAGCAGCTGAAGTAGTGCTCCAGGGGCTGGGACGGCCCTTGGTCCCCATTCTTGACCAAGTTACAGTCCGAGTCGTGTTCTGCACCTGACTTTCAGACACCGTAGAAGTGACCGTCGTGCGAATGGTTGCCACGGATCCAGTAGAGTTGATTGCCCTAGAAAAGGTGCTAGTCAAGTTCAGTGATCGAGATGAAGTGACGGTGAACTGGGGGACCGAAAACGTTGTCGAGCCAGAAGGGGTCAAGGTAACCTCGCTCGTGGTAGAGTTGACATATCGACTGGTTCTGCTCTCAATGCTCCAAATGCCGCTGCTAAGGGCAGAGCTCTGTGCAGACCATGGGATTACGGTGACTTGCGAATCCACACTTTGGCTGACTTCAGACGACAACCATGAACTGTGAGTAGACCACCAATCAAGAGTCGTAACGTTTGGAAGGGGGACTGGTGTAATGGTAGGCTCCCTAGTTATGATCGATGTGCTGAGACTAGGAAGGGGGCTGATCGGAGTGCCAGGTCGGGTGAACGGGCTCGCACTGGATCCTGTTGTGACAGTTGTGACAGTTGTGGCAGTTGTGTTGTAGATACTGCTTGTGAACGTTACTGTGGTTGTAAGTGAGCTAGTGAGTTGCGTTGGCGTGATCCTCGTCGTGATCGTCGAGGTTACTGACACGTCCTCACTCGTCAACAGGCTTGACGAAGCAACCGGCCCAGTCACAGTTGTTACAACAGACTGGCTCAAAGTGGTGGTGAATACAGCAGTCAGATTGGGAGGGAGCGAGGTATCAGTCAAAGTGATCTGAGAAGGAGGCAAGGGAGGCGCAAGGACAGTTGTGACCAAGCTTGTCACTGCTGAGGTTTTCGTCGTCACGTCCAGTGTCCAGGTTGACCAATCCAGAGAGGAGTTAGCCTGTGAGATCGAAGGGAGATCTTGACTCGCGCTTGAGAACTCAAGTATCGAGGACGTAGTTGTCGGATACTCTGTAGAGACTGTAGAGGCAGAACTCTTGGACGTGCTTGATTTCTTTCCGGTTGGCCGAATACCTCCAGGGAATATGGTGATGACTGAACCCTTAGATGTCGTTACCACAGTCACCGATAGAAAACTGGAGGCAAGAGTTGTGTTGATAGGTAGAGCGCTGGAGGCGAAGAGCGTAGTCGAGGAGACCCCAGCTGAGCTTTCGGAAGCCACTGCACCAGATTCTTCAAAGCTGCCAGTTGAGCTGGAGACCGAGTCTGAGATCGCTGATGAGTTGGTGAAGAATGAAGTTGGCGTAGGTTCAGCTACCCTTCCACTTGTGTCAACGATGCTTGATGTCATAATCGTATCGGAAGCGACGATTGATGAGGTTTGGAATCCAGTATCGGAGCCTGAAGGTGAAGGTGAGCCACTGGTTGCACTGATCAGGGAGCTGAGAGATGACGTCTCGATGATGGTGGTTTCAGTCGCCGTAGAAAATGATTCAAGACTCTCGAGCGAAGATGTGTTGGCAAAGGTAGTCGTGCTAATCAGTGTGGAGGTATCAATGAAGACCTCAGAGGTGTACAAGGTTGAAGTCGACACAATTATGTCGGTAACAACCTCTACTGAAGTTTCAGACACCGAAGAAGTTGCACTAGAACTTGGGGTCACACTCAAAGTGGTTTGAGTCGTGAGCGTCATGATGATGCTGGACACCAAGCTCCCAGAAGATAAGGAAGCCCCAGAAGAGGCACCAGATGCAAGAGTCTTGGTAGAAATGCGAGAGGAATTCTGAGCGGGGTTGATCGTAGGTGCTGTATCGGACTCGGTCAAGGAGGCAGACAAGGTAAATGACGAAGCATCAGAAGAAATGTCCAAGGAGATGCTCGAACCCAGAGACTCCGTTGAGAATGCTGTAGAGATCGACAATGACGCTGTATCGGAATATGTGGAACTCGACTCGGAAGCAGTCACGGTGATGCTGAGCACCTCAGTTGTTGTCGTGACTGAAGGGATAACCGATGTAGTATCCACGGCAGAGGCAGACGAGATGATGCCAGAAAGAGAGCCAGTCCCGACTTCAGTCGAGGGAGTTCCTTCGGAGAGCTCCGTCAGCTCCACGGTCTCTGTCATCCGTGTCGTCGTCAGGTCGACTGTCGTGCTCGAGTTGTACCTGGTTTGAACTCGAGTTGAGTAGACACTAGAAGAGGTTTGACTGCTGTCGCTCGTCTGAGAAGTCGCAGTGACCTCAGGTGCTGTCGCCTCAGAGGACTCTTCGGGGACATCGGATGATCCTGAGCTTTCGCTTTCCCCTGAGCTGGTTGAAATGCTGAGAACTGTGGTAGAGGAAAAAGTGTCTGATGAAGAAAAGGAAGTGAATGTTGTGATAGATGAAATTATATCTGAAGAAATGGGAACGGTAGATTCCATGACAGAAGAAGAAATATCCGAAGAAAGCTGAGTAGATGAAAGTGCATCAGTCGCGTCTGTAGTACTGGCCTCTGAGGAGGACTCGCTGCTAGAGAAGGAGCTTGTGCTGTCCGAAAGGCTGTCATCGCTCGTAGCGTCAGAGACCTGACTCTCAATCGTGGAAGAGGCATCATCGCCAGTGGTGGCTAGAGTCAGAGATGACACCGAGTCCGTTGAATGGACGGTTGATGCAGTCTCTGAGCCAGTGACGCTACTAGCTTTGGCACTCGAATCTGCTGATACCATCGAGGTGTCGCGCTGTGGTCCAAAGGAGGAAGGAAACGAAGAGGGCTCAGAAGATAGAGTGACAGACTCTGAGGAAAAGTTCATGCTGGAAGCGACGCCAGTTTCAGAAGAAACCCGAGCCTCAGTCACCGAGCTGCCAGTCTGCGACGAGAACTCCACAGAGGACGAAACTAGACTCGTTAGATGGAATAGAAAGAACAAAGTCAGAGTACTCACGGATTTCAGATTCAGCAGAGGTAGCAGGTGCCCCCGTGTAGTACGGAGGAGGGGGGCCGTAGCCGAAACCGGTTGCGTCGACATTGCTTGGTTCGCGAGCCTCAATGAAGTTGTCCTTGCGCACAACGTTTGGGTGCTGTCGGCGAATAAGCTGAGCCGAGCCACCAGAAAGGCAGATCAAGATCAGAACAATCGGCAAAAGGCCGAGAAGAGGAATATTGGGAGGTCTCATGGTGAGAAAATAAGAATGCTGCTACTTGGCATTAGCATCAGGTCCCTTCTCCTCGTCCCCAACCGAAGACCAAACCGAGAAAAGAACTTACTCTAACGAATGATATGCACTCGAGAACACTTTGATAGGTGCGAACGAACGTATGAATGCTGTGGGAAGTGATATCGATACAAAAGAGCGGAGTGTTGCGGGCAGGTGATATCTCGCGTTGGGGTTGACGCGAAGAAGAGGAGAAGTGAGGTGGAAGAAAAGAATACGAAGGAAGGATGAGAACGAGCGAGAACGCGCGGCACGAAGAAACAAGGAAAAGAGGCGAAAAAAGGTGTGCAACTTGCACCAGTTCTCTCGCAGTGCTTGCCAGCTGCCCAGCAAAGGGGGGGAAACGGGTGCTGATACCTTATAGGCTCATATTCCTCGACCACCGTTCTCTGGATTCGCCCCCTGTTAGCCTATCACAACATGAATGCACAGACGCAACTCAAAGTCAGATAGATTACGAATGCCTCACCTCGGGGTCTTGCGTGTTAGTAGGGAGGGAGTTGTGTGTCCTCCAGCCCGCCCCGTGGCCCGTCATACGTTGCCCGTCGACGGCTGCGAAAAGCCTTCTTCCCACGCCGTCGAAAATATCTCCGAGAGATTGCTTCACCATGTTTCCCGTCAAAAATCTACCGGTCTTTGGAGACGGGGCATCATCCCGGCTCCGTATGCTGGGATCCGGGAACGGAGCGGGAGCGGAAGCGGCGCTTGAGGTATGAGTAGAACTCGGAGCCGAAGTATATTACCGTCCTTCCATGTGCTCGGACCGGCGGTTCCTGATTGAGGTTGCATAGCCGCTTGCTTGCAGTCGTAGATTGCCATTCATACCCCTTTCGCCTCATCAACCGGTGCTTGTTCCAATGTGTCATGTCACGGGCCATCCTTCATCTCCCATTCTATCCACGGGATGGATGTCACAAGAAAGACACTTCCAACTCCTGGTCCGTTATCTGAGTGTGCTATAAATTGTTAATGATGAACCCCTGCGAGTATCATGACGTCTCGAAGTTCAAGACAGTTCGAAGTGAGACCAAACACCGTTGGCCCCTTTGACATATGTCCTCTGCACTTGCGTGAGGAGTTTGTTGACTCAAGTACAGGTCACACAATACTCGCAGCAACATATCCCTCGCACGCCCGTGTTGCATTGTGCGTCCTCCTGCGGGATCTGGCCCACCCCGGTAGAGTGCCTGGCAGAGGAGATCTCGGCCGTGTTCTGCGCTTGATGCACGAAACATCTCGGGCCTTCCACCATTCGGGGCTAACGGCCGGGCTGTCGAGCGTCGCACAGTTCAAGGGCCCAGAAGATCCAAACTGACATGCCCAGGTACAGCAGTAACACCTGCAGCTAGCCTCGGCAACGAGGCGAGATGCAGCTTGCCGTCGGACTGCAAGGTTGCAGATTCCTAGGAGGGACAGGTTTGGCATTCTGAATCTTGTCCCAGAGATTCATTCTATGGCGTGGATCTGGTCTTTAGCTTCAACTGGAATCGCCGAGGGACTCCGTATCGACATGAAAAGCGTAGCCGACTCTGTGCTACTAGGCATTGTTGACCCAGCCAAATATCGAAAAGCTAAGGGGTGTCGTCTCCGCCAGAACACACTCAATGAGCTCCAATGATAGAGCATTCGAGAGCTTATTGTTAAGTAACCTTGGTTGCCTCGCACCTGTCATCGAAATTGGATCATTTATGTCGTTCTTCAACAGGTGACGAGTCCTTCAGAGTGTCGTATGAGTGGAAGGTATTCAGGGCAAAAGCGGCGATGGTTGCGAGAGACAAAACGAGACCTTTTTTGTGAAATAAGAGAAACAGATCCATTGCCTTAGGGACACAAAAAAACCTTCCCTCATTAAAAATCCCGTGATCATGAGCCGCCTTCCTGCCTTAAAACTCTCAACATACGTAGAGGCGCCCGGGTAAATAGGCAGGAGCCATCGGCTCAAGCTGCCTTACTCTAGCTCTGTATGATCTCCTTCAACTCCCGCCTTGAAAAACCATCCCAAAACCTGTCCGTCGTACCGAATCCCTCCAGGGATTTCTTTTCTCGCTAGGGGTGAGCTCCGATGAGTCAATGTGGTGAGAATATCGGCTCGTCTACTCGGCCTTCTCGGCTGTCTCTCGCAGGGATGGGGCCGTTTCATCAGTCATGGTGGTATTTTTGTCTTCGATATCAGCAGCCCACAAGGCAGCGCCGACTACATGGTGTTAGCTTGTATTCGTATCTACCATCTTTGGACGACTCGCCTGTGTTGGTAAAGGTAAAGAACATGGAGGCAACCGGGATCATCTCGAGAAGAGTGGCAACAAGTCCGAATCTGTATCAAAGCGTCGATTAGCTATACCCAGCTCCTCGCGTGCTACGCTTCACCAGAAAGGGTCCGGAAAATCATGACGCGGAAAGGTTACGTACGCTGTGTAAGGGCCGACGTTCTTGTTAAGCCAATCCGACCTCTTGGGAGCCGACCATTGCTTGAGCTGGAAGTACTGCAATATCATCAGCACGACGGCACGACGATCAATAGCAGAGTGTTACTTACTCGATCATGAACTCCCTTACCTCGGTTGCGGCCTGAATCAGTCAGTAAGGGCAGAACATGTGTGATGGGGGGTCTATTGACCTTGGAGAGCGATAAATATCGCGGTACCGACGACAGGAATGGCATTGAGAGGCAGATACATGACGTAACGAATGATGGCCTTTGGGCTGAATTTCTCAAATGGGCTCTTGAGGATCTTGCCCAGCTTCTGCATCGGATCACTGCCAGATTTGACCTCTCTTCCTTCGCTTACGATCTGAGTGTCTCCGCGTGTGAGCAGAGTGCCATCGAAGGTATCAAGAAGTGCATCCTGGAGGAGATAGTTTCGAGAAATGAGGTTGATGATGGTGGTGCTCTCATTGAGAACGAGCAGACTGGTGGTCACAACAGCGAGAGGTCCGTTGACGAAGACGAGAACGGCGAGCTGTGGAAGATATGTGAATGCGAACATGCCACCGATGACACCTGTGGAGAGGAGGATCAAGGGACCGAGCTTGGAAAGGAATGGCGCCCATAGCGAACGGTGGGCGATGAGATAGACAATTCCCTATATCGAAGGTGTTAATGAGTACTCTCTCTAAGATGGAGGGGACGAGTCGTGCCTTGATCGGGTAGAGATAGGCCTTGCTCTTGGCGGCGTGGGCGACATGTTCTTTAGCCTGCGCATAGTCTTCCTTGCTAAAGGGTAATCAGTCTGCTGTTATGAAGGGCTTGATCTTGTCGTAGCCTTACAAGACTTCTTGAGCCTTTTCACCTACGGAATCGACCATTCGGTTCCGCTTGGGCTGCTGCTGCTGCTGCTGCTGCTGCTCAGATGCCGAGCCTTCTGCTGAATCGGCCATGGTGGGTTGCTTGAGACGAACTAGGCGAGTGGTGGGGTGAGGTGGAATGGAAATGGTCTGAATATACGGCACCGGGGTTTTGACTGGGAGAAGTGAATCGCTTGACCTTGGTTGTTTATATCGTGACGGAGTCGACAATCACAAGCTTTCCATTCCAACAAAACCAAGGGAGGAAGCTCTCAAATCGATGTCGTCATCTTGGCATGCAGCAGGAGTTTGGTTGGTGGGGCGCCTTTGACGCTAAGGCACGTGGGGCTTTGGTGCAGCTTGAATAAATGAAGACTTGTACAAATCACGAAGAGATGATTTTATTATAACTTTGAAGCCTAGAGCAATAATTTACGAAAAATATATCGAGTACACGGTATTTGCAAGAGTATATGGCTCGAAAATGATATATTTGTTCCTACATCTGGCAATGATAAAAGCAAGAAATAATTCTTCGTGCTGAGCATCGTAGGGTAGGTACCAAGCAATACCTGCATCCTCCCATTACCTACCTTACCCGTCACCTACGCTAGAGGGAGCAACACCTCCGCCTACCGGGTCACTCCTCCGAAGATAGTGGAGGTAATGATGGTGTTCTTTGCTCATCAAGTGATTGATATAAGAATGCCATCAGTTTCAACCTCCAAACCCCTGGTCTGTTGGCCCAAATACAAGGAACTGCATGCAGCCATTTCCCCTTTCAGAGCGACAACGCCAAGAGTCATCCGCCATCAGACGTCACCGGCTGATCTGGTCCATCCCCCGGGAGCAAACGTCCAGAGGACCCGCCCCGCGCCGTGAACTGACTGACCCACCTTCGGCCCCAACCGTCGGGAGCCTATATCGAGAGTCCCGGGACCAGACGTTTGAACTGGCTTGTCCTACCTTGGGAAGACGTCGCTCCTCGAAACAAGGCAGAGACGGGTTGAAACCACACGCTATAAGGCACTGAGACACCCTCTTACTTGTTGTAAGAGAAGAGCCCCCTTTCCCTTTGTACTTGTGGTATGTCGCGTGAGCCTCAACGTCTTCCCCCCCCCCCGTCCAATTACAAGGCATCGGCTGCTGATCACTCCCCAAGATGACGGTATGCGTCACAGGGGCGCGTTGTATAACATCAGTCGAACCCGACGTTGACGGCAGCCTCGTCCAGACGATGAGAACATTGGGAGCGTCCTCGATACCTTTGCCGAAAGAGTGATAGGAACATCAACGCCATGGATCAACGATACATCTCGAACAATCTTCCCGCGCAGAGCCTGGGATCAGATCCCAAAGAACTCCTTACGTATGCCCTCGAGCTCGTCGTCCGACACACGCCTCCTCGAGAGGTATACCACGACCGTCACCTAGGAGGCCTCTTTACCGGCTACACGGGCCTCGCCTACCTGTTCCTTCAGTTGTCAGAAATGCACACAGACCTGCTCATCTCGGGTCATGACTTGATATTCTGGGCACGGCAGTATCTCGCCGGCGATCGAGGACATTTGGTCTTGGAGAAAGGTAACTGTGGCATCTCGTCTGAGAAGTTGTCGTTTGAGGCGGTGCGAGCATGTGTGACTAAGGATCCGGGCCACTTGGTCGACTTTCTGGCCAACATGCCAAGGCTTCTTGGTCCATACTTGAACACTCAGGACGACCCCTTTCCATCAGAGATACCATATGGACGAGCCGGTACCTTGTATATGTTGCGGATGGTCAGACACTGGGTGCCAGGGAGTGCAGGGCTCGTGGAATCTCCGTTACGGCGGTTGACGGAGAGGATCATGGCGACTGACGACGACGGCCGAGGCAACTGGGAGTGGCACGGGAAGCGATACTTTGGTGCTGCCCACGGAGACATGGGCATCATCACCCAGCTCGTTCTCTCCAACCCATCACTCGCTCCACAACTCTCGCACCGACTCGAGAGACTGCTTGAACTTCAGCTTCCAGACGGCAACTGGCCTTCCAGTGCGAGGAACCTAAAAGAGGGAAGAAGTGCAAACCTCGTACAGTGGTGCCATGGCGCCCCTGGCTTCCTGTACTCACTCACCTCGCTGCGTCCGTATTTCCCACACCTCCAGGACCGCATCGACTCGGCCGTGGAAAAGGGGCAGAGCATAATCTGGCGACACGGTCTGCTCACAAAGGAACCGTGCTTGTGCCATGGCATTTTTGGCAACGCCTTGTAAGTCTTACCGCGGTGGACCCCCCTTTTTTTTCCCTCTCTCACCTTGATGTGCCTTGGACCTCGGTTATCAACTGACCTCGGAATAGAGTCCTCCCTCGTGGGCCCAGTCGAGAACACTTCCTCGCTCTGGCGACCGCCGATGCTGTGGAAAAGGTCCGCCGACACGACCCAAACCTGTTCGAGAATGCCTCCTACGGGCACAAGGCTTCAGTCCTGATGAATTACTTACCGAGTGCTGCATGGACATGGGCAGTCTGCGAGCAAGAATGCCCCCGGCTCATCATGTACAACGACCTGTAATGGAGGGTGATGGATGGCTTGACGCCATCTGGCGGTGGAAGCCGTGGCTAGGCAGTTTGACAAGGGAGCGATATCGGATGGGACGCTGGCGTCTTCTATTTTTCCTTCTTTGCCACTTGGGTCTCCCACAGTCTGGCTGCGAGATGGACGATGACTTCAACCTGCAGAAGCACATGGACATGGCATGTCGGTACTAGCTAGCTGCATGCTAACCGAGGATAAATGGGCATGCTGTGAGGACGGGGCACTCACGGGATCGGGCCGGCGAGCATCATCATCCTTGGGTTTCCCAGCCCAAAGGTTGGATACCCGCCCCCTGAGCTCGTCCCACGTCTTGGCCAGATAGTCCATTCGATCGGGAAGCAAGAAGAGGCAAGACCCAAAAAAAGCCAAGTTTTCATTCCTTGCGTGATAAGTCGCCTGGAGTGGTTCATGAGATCCACCCTCACATGTCTGTCGCGCGGTTGGCGCCATCTGTTGTCTGGAATCCACACCTCGGCCGTGGCTGGAGATTTGTCGGAGTCTTGGAGGCGCCCGCCATGGACAAGGCTTGCATTCTAGAGGATAACTCTTTGATGTTTCGACGTGCCGGGGCTAGCTATTGGCCCCTGCTTGCTGTTGTGCCAGATATGATAGGGATGCGGCTGATTCTGAGGCTCATCAGGCCAAGATCCACCGCCAACACCGGAAGAATGCCGAGTTTCTAGAGGCGTCGAAAGAGGATTGGACGCCCGACGATAAGGTGAGTGGATGGTGAGCAAAGAGCCCCATCGAGTCCCGGTTTTTAGTACAACCTCACCTTAAAGACCCGGTTTATAGACGTGACGAGCATCGGTCCAGCCGAACAAGGCTCGAGTGCCGAAAGGTCTTGATCAGGAAATGAAAAAAATTTTGTCCCTGAAAATTGGGCTGAGCCTGTGATTTCTTGTCGTGTGCTTCCAGAGGCTCGAGCTGCGTGCCATGATTCTTATCGTGACATGGCGACACTGCGGCCGAACGAATGGCGACGGCTCGTTGGTCATCTCTCGGCCGAGTTCCTGCAGCGGATATAACACACCTTGATGCCATTCCCGGCCAAGTGGGGCCGAGGACCGGAAGCTCGCCAGATGGGGCCAGGGGCATCTCAGGGCCGAGGGCCTCGGACGGTCTAAACGGGTCGTCAAGAGATTAGAAGGGAACAGGGTTGAGGCGTCGGCGATGAGGCGCGCGCAGGAAGAAGGTATGGATCCAAACGGCCAGCCGTTCATGCAAGTCGAGGCGTGGCGGTTCGAAAAGCAACTCTGAAGGCAAAGACAGACTTGTCCTCAAAGGGATCGAGATCACAGACAGATGAATGGAGTCGAGATGGGAAAACGAAAACTCGCAGGGAGAGTAAAAGTGGGCTTCCACTCACGCACCTGAAGCTCGCTCATCCATGTACTGGAGACTGGATCAGAGAAGAGACGATAACGTCAAGGAACCCCTTCCATGTGCCATGAACGGTGAGGCATTTCCAGCAAAGCAAGCAATAGTCCCCATCCTCATCCCCAGCGTGTTGTATGCATTGCATTGCGTTGTTTACATGGCAGGTCATGGGGGTCATGGATGGGATCTTTGTGCTGCAACGTCCGCGGAGCAACAGCAGAAATGACAACGACCCGCCGAAATTGGCGCCAGAAAACGTCAAATCATGGGAATAAGCTCCGATCGAGAATTGGCCGTTTCCCGTTCCCGTTCCCGTTTCGCTGTCGACGTCAGAAGGTAATGTCGGCGGTTATATCGCCGACCCGATCGCGAGGTGGAGTCACACGCCTCCCGGCGGAGGGTCGGCGGTTATGAGAAGCGACCCGACGACAAGCTGCTGCAAGCTATTGAAGCGGCATTTTTTCTTCAACGGCGAAAAGTAGGGTCGCAATCCGCGAAAAAGAAGGCCATGACTTCATTTCCATCAAGGGGGAGTCTGTGTCCCCTGGCGTCAAACACCCTGATCTCCAGCAAGCGTCCTTTCGGGTCTTGAAGAAACGCTAGGCTGGTCGGCCGCTGGATGTTGATGGGACCGGTGGGTATTGCATCGGCACCGATCAGGGTTATTCGGATCCGTGCTTGGTCAAGGAGGATGGAGAAGAGAGAAGACGGGCTAATGATTCGGCCAGGGACCTTGGGGGCCTGCTTGACGGGCTGGGCTGGCCCCCGTGGCTCGGAGCGAAAATGGCCATGGCTTGCCGCTCCCGGCACCGAGCGCGGCAGGGTGCATTTGTTCCCGCGAGCTTCTAGAAGATGGAAATCCGGTGTTCGGCATCCATTCCTAGGGGTTGCAGTCGATCGACCCTTTTTTGCCTCGTTGGTGATCCACTCACACGGACGCACGTTTTCGGCGGCTGAATTCATAGGGCCACGGGCTGTCTTGTTGGAGATTTGAGAGAATCTGGCTGAGATGAGACTGTGATTGTCTAGGCAGAAAACGTGCTCTCGGCTCTCGTGGTGCCGACTGGACGGTCGTTGTGAGATGGCCCCTCCAAGATTTAGACACTTTGATTCGGTGGCCAACGACGTTTTAAGCTTCATTCGTTTCGCTATCACCATGACATCAAGGTCAGCCAATTGCGCCCGTCACAAGTCATGTTGGCTGCAGAGAGCTCTTATCTCCGAGAGTATATCAGACAAGTGATATTGACTCTAGTGATGGTCAGATAATAGCTTTGGCGATGGTGATGATGATGATGATTATGGACGTGAGAAATGACAATGTGCTTTGTGATGAAATGGAATGGATCCATTCCATGTCGAGTGTGGATGTGGATGTGAATGGATGCATTGCATGGTCAGAAAAACCCACTCACCACATGAACGTGATTCAGATTGATGAAAAGAGTCATGGCAAACTTCAGCCCTGGGAATGATCTTATTCCCGGAGGCTTCCTGCTATTGCCGGCGCAAAAAGAACTAAGACGAGCTAGCGCCAAATGGGCGATCAGGGTTTTTCGCTTTGGCCATGCTGTCATTGACTGCCCGGTGAGGAGGAATCATGCACCATCGATGGGTGTAACAACGCATCAAAACAAGACGCACACGCCATGTTCTGTTCCGTTCTCGCATCTCGCAGTAAGCATGTTTAGCACCATCACTCAACACGAGAGTTTGAGACAAATCCAGGCCTGCAGTGAGAATTAAAAAAACGTGATGGTAACGCTGCTGATTTGCTCGAGACTGTTCTTTCTCAGTGACAGATCAAGACGTATGACGTCGGTGGTTGCGGCCTCGGGATGGTGGTGCCGTGGGGATGAGTTTATCAACCAACCAAAGAGACGAGATGCGATTAAGGAACAGCGAGATGAGGCTCAAGGTTTTGCAAGTTCCACTGTCCTAGCAGAAAGCCAAGTTGACGAGATGTCGCCGAGCCTCGTCCGCCTCCCTTAAGTGCCGAATCAGAAACGGCAGCACGTTTTCTTGGGCTCCCGTTTGGGCTTGAGGCGGTGGCTAGAGGAAAGCATCTGCGTACAGCTTCAACGGGGACTCTAAGCGAGGAATGGATGTCTTGTCGGGGGCGTCCTTGAATGCTTGCTGGGTGTCAAGGGGGATGGGTCCATCCATCCATTGTGCCCAAAGCAAATGTCTGGTTTAGCGGTATCCACGATGCAAAATTGAAAGTGGGTTTTTTTATTCTCTTGTCTCACACTCAAAAATTCGGGGGACCAGCCGGTAGCTGGAGAAAAATAGGGGTGCGAGAATGGAGCGAGATGAATCTGGGCACGGTACAAACACCATGATGAGATCATTGAGATGGATGGATGGGCCAAGCCGCGGAGCTCATGCCATGCCATGCCCTTACCAATTACTCGGGAATCAGGCACGGGGTCTTGTGCCGGCAAGTCATGAACGGCAAAGAGAAGCAAAGCGCATGTGAATTCTCGACGTTGGAGAGAAAAGAAGCATGATGCGGCGAATGCGGCCTGGTAATTGCCGCCCGCGGAGTCCGATCGGGGTCGGCCCTTAGAGAAGTCCGGAGTTCAGGTCTTTTTTCTCTAGAGTCTTGACAAAAACTCGAAACCTGTGACCTCAGACAGACCCAAAACACACACCCCCTTAGCCCAACGTGCAGAGCACCGCACAGTAGGGGGGGGGGAAGCTAGTAAGCCATGAGCCATGATGCGTCACCGCGACGGCAAAAGCCCGCCGGGCTGGCACTTATATCCGTGCCGGGGCGGGATTTGGAGAACCACACCTACCTCACGCCAGGTACCCTCACAGCCTTGGGGCGGTGCCGTGGTACCTGGGGCTGCCCCCTGGGATTCCCAATGCCGACCCTCTCAGCTCGCTCGCTGCGCTGATCAGCGCAACCTCGCCAGCCCTACATGCGCCCAACCATACGCACCACGCACCTCGCGGCTTCACCCAGAGGCCGGGGAAGCGAGTCGAGAAGTAAAAAAGAGTCAGGAGGTACGGCGGGATTAGTTATCTACTGCACAGCAGGCTTTGCAGGAGCAGAGCAGCGCTTTAGCGTAGCTTTCTTTCTAGTGCGGTGGGGACACACGGGCTGCGGAGGCGCTCATGACCACGACAAAGGCCGCTTTGTTTTGTCTCTTGGTGTTTTTGTGATTCCGCATTCCGCTTACTCACTGATGATCGGACTTTACAACTCTCCATGGTTACTTTACTCAGCCATGTCTTGGGAAGCAACTGTGCATGAGCGGTCAAAAGAGTGAACCAACTACATTGCAGCCAGCATGAACAGAACATGATGAACCACCCAGAGGCAGCCCAGATGGACCCATGCCATAAAGCTGAGATACGGCCAGAATGACGATTCGCAAACCTGCACTGCAATCTCAGTCCAGTCCATGAATGTGGATGATATCGCCACGTACCTGGGGGCGGTATCTGCATCGGGGCCGGGCGTCGACATCGGGGCCGGGAACCACGCCCCCCTACCAACTCTGTTCCCTATTTTTCCCTCTACGAGGATCTTGAATACGCTGCTGGATTGGCCGAGAGCGTACAACAGCCCGCGGCCGACAGCGCGCACGATCAAAGTTACAGGGCCTTTGTTCACTGTCAAAAACTTGCCTGTTGTTGGTCGAGCAAGGGGTTTTGCAGGGGCCGCAACCGCATGGCAAGATGGCCGCAAGGGGTTTCAGCGTATCCCAACCCATGCCTGTCAGTTGATGGGACAGACAAGTCCAGAAAATGGGATGGGCATTTTTGAGTTTCCCCTGGAGGGATTCCTGGTCTTTCTCGTTCATGCTCGTAACGAGGAGAACGACAGTGGTGGCCCTGTTTCCCGTTCCCATGTCTTGGCGGAGTCTAGCTCCATCCCGTCACGCTGGGAACCATGTGGATTTGTCGAGCAGAAGACAAGAGGCTCCAGAAGACGACACGGAATGGAAATCAGGAAATCTTGCATGGGTCAAGGTTCTGGGTTCTGGGTTCTGGGCGGAGGTCGGCTTTACGGCATGCCGGGGACAACCCGCAATTCCCTCGTCGTCCAGTCCACCGCTGCGGCTGCGGCTGCTGGCTGGCTGCATCTGCAATCACAGTCCATCTCGACCTCGTGCCCCCCTGCGGTGGAGGCGCCGAGATGCGCGTTATGCCATGCCTGCGACTCTGTTTTTTGTGGTAACGGGATAGGACAGGAGGATTCGGTGAGGTGAGTGGATGCTCGATACTGCGAGAAGCGGACAGAGTCAGAGAGTAGGTACTGTTAGAAGCGAGCCGTGCGGGTAGACGGCAGGCCCGCTTCTTTTTTCATGATCCTGATGATCCAGCAGCATCCATGATGATGACGAGATCCAGCCGAGAACCATCCAGAGCGAGTCTTGTCTCGTTCATCTTCAAAATTGGGGATATATATCAAGACGTGGCCGCCCGGTGTTCTGGCTCTCGCCCCCCTCCCCACATCCCAACGTCTTACACGCATTTGTAGACCAAGACGAACCTGGACATAACTTGTCAGCCTTTAACGGTCATGATAGCTTTATAAGCCTTGAGACGTCCACGCACATACAGGCTTCGCAGCATATCACCTTGTCCAGCAGCAGTAATCTACTGCACAGCACAACACAGCACAGCATCAAGCTCGCAGCCAACAAAACATATCATCCTTCACCAAAGCAGAGTCGTGTGCTCCACCTTACGATTTTCAAACAAGCCCTCACTCAACTCAGAAGCACAACCAATTCCAAAACCCCCCCTGTCTCGTTCTCGCTCTCGCAATCGATCCTTGTACCTCAGCCTCGCCCTCATCACTTGTTAGTCTCGATCTGCGCCTTGAGCATAACGCGTCCTCTCATCTGCTCATCTGAGCTTGAGCTGTCCTTCTCCAACGGTCATCGCCCGTTTCCTACAGCACACTTTCTTCCCCTTGTCAGCAACCGGCCCAAAAGCATTACCACCCCATCCCATCCTCACCACTCATCCATCCATCATCTTCTCTGCCCCCCCGTAAGTCCGCCCGTCGCGCGCGGACTTTTGGCTTCAGCTAGGGGCATCTTGTCGACGCCGCGGGGCGACCCACCACCACAACCTCTGTCTGCGGGCCCTTGTTCGCTCCCTAGACGATCCCTGTCGCCCTCGCCTTCTCGGACATAAAGACCTCGCCGACCGTTAGGCACACACCCTCCATCCCTCACCCATCCATCCATTGATTCCCGCACCGCAAGCGGCGCCGGACAGTTGATAGAAAACCCTCCGAGGGCCGTGGCCCATTCTCACATAATCCACCTAATTCAAGGCCGTTACGCATATCTCAGACAGTCACCAGTCACACAAGCCTGGGCCTGGTCCTGTCCTGTCCTGTCCTAATCCAGCTGCGCGTTATATGCCTCTTGGCTTCGACTGCTATTATTATTAAGCTCGTCGAACCCTTTTTTCTTCTCCCTGTTGCTTCACATTCTTATTATACATACATCCTTCCCCCCCTCCCTTCCCAGCTGTCTGGTTCATCCCTCTCTTCCTCCCACTTACACACATTACATCCATCTCAACATATCCATCTTGCCTCTTCACTCTAGATTGGATGACACCTCGACCCATTCGTCCCACAGTCAAGACAAGATCTTCAACAATGGGTTCAAGTAGCTTGCCCTCTCCTCCTGCAGAGGATCACAAGTCGACTCTCTCACGAAAGAGCACATCAAGTGCCAAGTCGGTCAAGCCTGTCCACCGCGCCTCCAAACGAGCCAGCTCCAGTGCCGCTGCCATTCACCACCACGACCATGTCACACATACCACTGGCATGGACGGTCGACATAAGCGTGTGTGGAAGGCTTGTGAGCGATGTCGTATGAAGAAGACCAAGGTATGTGTGGTAAACCCCGAGTGTGTCCCCCCACTAACACGATCAAGTGCGACGGTGAATTCCCCTGCAAGCGATGCAAGGATGACGGTTTGGTATGCACCGCCGGTGTTAGAAAGAAGATGGAATACAAGCAACTGCCTCGAGGGTACGTGTGGAAGAAGCTTACCTGGATCCACATGTCACTTACACAAGCCACAGATACGCCGAAGTGCTCGAGAACACCCAATTCGCCCTCATCGCCACTGTCCACAAGCTTTACTCCATGGTCCGGAATAACCAGCCCTGGGAGCTGGGTGAGCCCGAGCTCAACGACCGCGGGCAGCCCGTGATCCACAACATCGCTCAGAAGCTTGGCTGCATCCGACCCAATAGCGACATCGACCTCCCCGTGCACTCAGTATTCCCCGAAGACGAGGCCGGTATGGCTGAGCTGGCACGGCAACTTGAAGACCAGCAGAAGGAGCAGGAGCCCCAGAAGGAGGTCAAGGACACAGACTCTTCAGTATGCAACCGAACAGAACGAGCATCATCGTCCGAACTCGACCACTCCGACTTTGAGCACGACTACCGAAAGGCGGCCTTTGGCAACAGCAATGCCATGACTCTCTCACCGCAGAGCTTCACTGGCAGTGCCGACTTCGACTTTGCACCCCCGCCTCCCGAGATCGACGCTTCAGCCATGTTTCCCTCTCAATCTCCTTCTATGTCGAGCTTCCCTGCTTGGTCAATGGCCAAGCCGCAACCCAGCGACCTGACGATGCAATTCCTCCAGCAGCAGCAAAACGGAATGATGGCCAACATGGACCTGCTCAATCAGGGCCTTGTCGAGTCGGAATTTGGAACCATCAAGCCCCACGTCCTATCGTGTCCCAACCCCGAGGTGATGATGGGCATGGGCGATCCCATGATCTATTCAGGCTACGACGGCGAACCGATGCGACTATGACCACCACGACCCCTGACTGCGCTTGACTGTACAGTACTATAGATTTACTTGTTTACGGCCATTCCCCTCACGTCGAAATTCGTCACGCGGCACGGTGTTAATCGGTATCCTTTTTTATTTTTCCATTCTGGGCACATATTTCTAGGGTTTTGGTGTTTTTTATCTGTACGAAAAGAGGACGCGAACTCGTAGAATCGAGTGTGTCCTTTTGGCGGCTGGCGTTGGATGAGTTCTCTTAAGGCTGGACAATGGGAATCTTGTACAAAGCTCCCCCAACTCGATGCCACGAGACGGACAACGTGGAAGTTGGAAGCGGAGCAGGCAGGCAGGTTGGCAGGCAAAGGTGTGTGAAATACGGAATATGGGAACATGATACAAGACAAATGGAACATGGCACGAAAAGGAACATTTCTCTCTCCCTCTCTTTCCACCCCGGGCGCCAGGGGGGAAAGGGGGCTGGGTCAAACAAAGTGCACACTCGGGCAAGGTAACCTTGTGAAGGTTTTCTGGGGAAAAGAAGCATATTTTTTTTTTTTTTTGATAGACGGCGCATACCATTTAATCCGAGTCCCCGAATTGCCACAAAGAAATTGTAATTGCCGTGCTCCAAACTCTATTGTGACGGCTGTTTTCGTCTATGGTCTTATTTTGAACGACAATTGCCGAGCCCTATGCATGAGTAGTACCGTGATATGGTGTGAACTCGGGTCTTGTTGGCGTTTGCCGTGATGGATGGGGATGGATCTGTCATGTCACATTGATGAATTCTCCGTTGAGCCGTCAATGGGATTCTAGACCTGCATCCAACCGCAGCAAGAGACGGACAGGGAAGGGATCCCTCCCCCATCAGATCATGAAGTAGGGTGTCACACGTCATTGACTACAGAAGTATCTTTGGTCCATTCTCGATTTGTCTTTTTGCTCTGCCCTGCCGCTGTCCATCGGGGTCCGAGACCGAGATCCACCACGGGCTGTAAAGGTGGCCGAACGGGAAACCCAGCAAAAACTCGAAGTCAAAAAAAAAAAAGAGAGGTGAACGGCGTCCGTCCGCGCGCAGCACGCATTCGCACGCGCGCACACCTTAAACTCCGTGATTCCGTCTCTCTGATGGAGGGAGCGGAAACGGGCGCAAGTCCGCACCTTGCACATGGCGTGAGGGGGACCGAGAACGAATAATTGGAGAATTTCCCATCTTTCTTTTCTGCCTTTGGTCAATTTGTGATTGAATGTTACAGAGCATGTACAGGTATCGTTATTCTTCTGCCTCTGGCTTAGCCTGGAACTGGCCCGTTGTCCATGATTGCAAATCAACCTTGACCATGATTAACGCCGAAAGTGAGAGTGTTTGACAATCCATGGGACACTAACGACACGCCCTCTACTAATCCAAACAGCTCTCCAACGTAACAGCACCGGCGCTAAGATGACCCCAGAAGCCTCACGAGAAAGAAAGAAAAAAAGAGCACGTTTTTTGCTTGAGCCGTAAACCCGGGCGGTGGGCTGGCGCGCGCGGAACGGACGAATTGCAGGTTTACCAATCCGACCATGATTATTGAGCAATGGTGGGATTGATGTGAAATACATAACGGGATAAGAGTCATCATTCATCATCCATTATCCATCCACCTCCAAGGGAAAAAAAAAAGGAACCCAGTCAGACCCAGACAGAAAGCCTAGCTCACTCGGAAGCTTGTTAGTGCCTGCGGGCGCCCATTCCAAACTGCAAGAGGGTATGTTTTGGCGGGTCTAAAGCAAAGGTCATCCTGCGGTTTGTTTGTTTTTTTCCTCTTGCTCAAATTCTTCTTTTCTTTTTAAGCTTCGGCCTGGGTTTGTCATGGTCCCCGACAAGGGGGAGGAGGAGGAGATGGGGGTTTGGAGATTGCGGACCGCTTACAATAGCAAACTCACAAGACGGACGGCGGGCAGAAGAAGGTTTTTTGGAGAGGGGAGGGGGTGGGCGTCAACTGTAGATTGGGACATAACACATAACGCCAAACAATAACGGGAGGGGCCAGCAGCAGCGACTATGAGATGATACGCGCGCGCTCGTTCGGCCGCCCTTCTCGATTACAGAGCAACACACATTACACACGCCAGTCCAATAGACGAGTGCGGGCGACAGGATTCGGGGTAGGGGGCTTGCTTCTCTGTCTATTGGAGTCAGCCCTAAGCTTTTCGACAAGGGGCGGTAAACGACACCGACGGACGGACGAAGCGACGGACCAAATTGAGATGGAGGCTTCACAAACGCTGACTGATGATGCGCTTGGTGCTGTTTTTGGTTGAGTTTCAAACTCGAATGCATTTGGGGGCTGGGTCTAAGATCCATTGACCGCCTTGGATTTTTGTCTCTTGTTTCATGGATCTTTGTCTTGTCTTATCCATGGCCATCCAGGTAAGAAAAAGCTTCAACGGCGCCTACGCACGGCATTGGACACACTCACTGCATCAATGCTAGCCAAGCCTAAGCAGCCTCATGATGCTCTGTGCGTCTACAAAGATCCCCCATCCCAAGGCTACCTTGATCGCTTTTCGGCTCTTTACTACACCCAGGAACCTTGCAGAACTCGCTGATCAGTTGAGTCTCGAGATTCAATCAATGGACAGTCCGCGGACCTAAACGACAATGCCGCTCCCCGCGGAGTGCGGAGTTCAGACGTGGGGTGGGCCGAACGGGCATCGCATATCTGAGATGTAGCCCGGCTTTCGGGCTCTTGCTACCCTCCGGCGACTGCTAGGGGTGTGTACCGGCGAAGTGGGGTGAGGATAGAAGGTTTCCTTTCTAGGTAAATGGTTCGAGCAAAGCCAATTGATGCCGTGTCGTCTCCCCCCCCCCTCCTCTCGCCTGCGTGCGGCTTTCCATATCGTCCATGGGTGGTGTCAGCATTTGGGGGAAATCCCAACCAGGCGGTTACGATGATGACGGGCGATCCCCATATCTGACTCCGCCTCTAAATCGAGAATCTCAATGGATTGCTTCGTTGGCGGCGTATAGGCGTATCACCATGAGATTGATGTAAGTAAGACGAGTTGAGTGAAGGGGGAGTATCATCCATCGTGTGCCCATGTTCTGACCAAGTGGCTGGTCTCTTGTTCCTCATATCATGAGAGTCCACCTCTTTGCTCGTTCTGCTCGGTTTCGCATTTCGCATTTCCTCGCTGTTTTTAAGAAGCCCACCCACACACACACACACCTTTGGTCACCCTTAACCCTTGGCTGTCACGGCCACGCGGTGCAGAATGTGGGGCCGGGAACGGGGCCAGCCCTCCTCCGGCAGCGAGCATAACTCGGCCCAGATGAGATCCATATTGGATCTTGGGATCCTCTTTTTGTGCCTGTTTATTTTCTTGTGCCCGGCGTCTTGTAGGGCCCCGACCGGCCGAGGATCGTGATGAAAGGGATCGGGTTTTTGAAGAAGAAATTTGGAATTTCGCAGAGAACTCTGTGGAGAAAGAGATCCAGTGGGTTAACCAGTTATCAACCCCTGCCTGGACTTAACACAAACAAGCTTGTTGCTGATTCCAAAACGCCTTTTAACTCCGGACTTGATGACTGTTTGAATATTCCGATTCACTTAAATCCGTCGGTGCATCTCAAGGTTAACCGGTCTCCCCCATCCCAACAACTGCTGCAGTCATGTCGCACTCCAATTGTTCCGTCCCCTGTCCACGACGGGGAGGCAGCCACTTTGCACATCCAATAATTCCTGACGGTGGCTGGGGGTCGACGAGACACGCATTTCTCTCGCTCGATACAGTCCACGTTTAGGCATCACAAAGTGCCCCCCCAGGTTCTTCAAAGGGGAAAAGACCGAGAGCCAAGCTTGCCTAGGGCTTGTCCAGTCACCTAGGGCTGCGTCACCTCTCATTTCCCTCCAGTGGCTTAGACGTGCCCCTCCACGTAAACAAAACTCCTTCAAGAGTCGAAAAAGGGCAAAAAGGATGGTGGTGCGTAGCATCTCAGACAAGGCCCCTCGAAGGCTTGGGCTTGGGTCTCTCCCACGGACACGGCGTATTGGCGATTGGCTCGCCCGCCTAGAAATCATTCCCTGCAAAGCTGATGCACGTGGGGTGAATGCGAGATACGAATTTCTGCCCGGCCCCTCTTGGCTCTGCTGTCCGTAAATTCAAATCCAGGCATGATGTTGTGTGCCTCTCACCACAATGCCACTGCCACAGTTTCCCCCCCCCCCCCCCCCCTCCTTTTCTGGGCGTTTTGACCCTTGGTGGACAGAATTATCGAGACGCTCTCTAAACCGACGCCTTTGGCCAGGATCTGCGTTCTGCGTCAATCATTCAATCACGACAGCCCAGTCGGTGGGAGCACCATCGAGGCCAAGCCAAGCAATGACCATGGCTCCATGAGGTCAAGCATTAGCAGCCACGGCTTGCCTCGCAGCCTTAGGTGCCATTCGCTCTCGCTACCGTCGGGTCCTGGCATCCCCCCGCGCCCACGCATATCCTCGCTCGCTCATTATTACGCGTATTCCCGTCGACGGGTCCTTCAAGAGTCCGATAATCATGCTCTCAACTTGTTTGCCCAATATCAAACAATCATAAACAATGCACAAGCATGAATAAAAGAGTATATCTGCATCATATACACGATACGCTAAATGCTTGATAACTATGAATAACTCTTCATCAGCATCGCCAACCCATCCCTTACAGCTTACAATAGCCCTATCCTTGTTTGGGCGAAACGCAGCGCCCAACCTGACGTCAACTTGATCACCGCCAGGAAACGCCATGAAACAACGTGTACATGAGTCGATGGCTTAGATTTGCTTGACTGATGCAACTGACGCGAAAAATCAAGACAAATTTCATCTCCTCCTGGCTCTCCTGTTTGTCTCGTGAAGTTTGTACGCGTAAACTCTGCGCCCCGACGGCACTCTATTCCCCGACACCCCGGCATAGACGAGCTGACCTATCATGAAGCTCCTCGCAGGTCGTCGCATCATGTGCCATATCCTCGCCCTGTTCGTCTGCCAGGGACT